AATGAAACATCGACACTGTCGCCAGGTAAAGGAAAATAAAGCTTTTAGGAACCTGCTTAGTAGTGAGAGATACTTCAAAAGGCCACATTTCTATTTGCCAAACCAAATCGGAGTTAACAATGGAATCATGAGACAGTCCTAACGAATGTGACCCTGGGCTGAATGCCTTAGTGACTCCCGGGCTCCAAGAAGCCCCCTTCTGAGACATGGGCTTCCCTGTTTCTCACCCAGTGGAGAAGCCAGCAGAAATCTGCTGTGCAGTCCTATCACCTGTGAACATCCAGAGACAACAGTGTTGACAACCACAGGCCATGGCACTGTGTGATTGTTGGACACATTGCAGACGAAAACCACCAGCAGCTGTCCGAAGCTGGTTTTCTCTTATTAAAATTTAGTTAATAAAGCCTGTACCATGAAACAAACCAGATGAAAACCCAGGCTTCATCCAGAAAGGCTTATTGTAGGCTGGGAGAGATACTGTTTTGTCCAAATCAGTAGGTTTCTATCAATTTGAACACCTCTACATGGACTTAGGAGCTCTGGGAGAACCCAGGGGGAGTTGGAAGCCTGCTACAGCCCCGTGAGGGCATTACCTTTTCTGTCTTTGCTGGGGATGGTGGGGGAAGAGACTGACATACAGGAAACCGAGGGGAACCTATGTGTGTGAGGGCATGGAATCATGCACAAGCATGTGGGCTGAGTGCAAGTGGATTCAAAAGGGCACAAAGATTGGTATGAGATGATTAGTGCCTTCAAAACACAGGCCCCAGGTGGCTCATTTTGGTATCCTCAACATTGTGAACTTGTCACACAAGGTAGGGATTTTAACAAGTAAATTTCAAATAAAGGTCAAGTCTACACTTTCATTCACCCATAATTTCGTCCTACCCGATTTTATACTTACTGCCTTTGCCCTTGCACTTAAAATATACACCAAAATAAAAGTGCCTCAAAACCCCAATGAGTTTCTAAACAGTCACACACTGACAAACACACACACTGACACGCTCAGAGTCTCTCGTTGATTCTTGTTCTCTCTCAATCTCACGCTCACTTTATATCTCCTCCATCTCCACACTGTTGCAAAGAGTTGGAGAAAAAGTAGAATAGCACTTCTTTTTCAGTTTTTCTAAATTTTCACCAACCAGTTCACAAAAGCACAAGGATGAAGAATTAGAAAAGTGGAGGGTTGGCCTGGAGCAGTGGCTTACACTTGTAATTCTAACACTTTGGGAAGTCGAGGCAGGAGGATCACTTGAGCCCAGGAGTTCGAGACCAGCCTAAGCAACATAGACCCAATCTCTACTAAAAAAAACTAGCTGGGTATGGTGGTGGATACCTGTAGTCCCAGCTACTCAGGAGGCTGAGGTGGGAGGATTGTTTGAGTCTGGGAGGTCAAAGCTGCAGTGAGCTATGACTGCACCACTGCACTCCGTCCTGAGTGACAGAGTGAGACCTGCCTCAAAAAAAAAAAAAAAAAAGTGGAGGTAGGTGACAATAGCAAGATGATGAGAGGGGGAAGAGGAGAGAAAGAATAGATGAGAAAGAAAATCAGAAAAGTCAAGCTTCCCATTGTGGGTAGGGAGTGAATTGTGAATGATGATGCTTTTCCCCTACTGAGGTTAAGGAATATGGCTGCCAGATTGTACAGAAGAGTGGGAGTCCTGCAAAGATAAACTGCTTTGGATGCACTGACTTGTGGAGAAGCAGCAAAAAAGAGTGGAACAATCTCCATTCTGTCATAAATTCTGGCTATGCATTTTTCTTGAAGGGTTTAGCTTCTTATGGATATGACTTGTGTTTTCGGATAGGTCCTTTTCATTAAGCTGGCTCTAGCATAAATTTAAACGACATGCTTTGTTGGGAAAACGTTGGACCACTTGGTGGATGCAGATGCCTTCCTGGCAGATGTGCTGGTTAATTTTTTATGTCAACTTGGCTGGGCCATGGGGCATCCTGATATTTGGTCAATCATTATTCTAGATGTTTCTGTGAAGGTATTTTTGGTAAGATTTGCACTTAAATCAGTGGACTTCAAGTAAAGCAGATGGCCCTCTATAATGTGGGTGGGTCTCATCTAATCCACTGAAAGCCTAAATAGAGCAAAAGGCTGACTTCAGAGCAAGAGGGAACTGCCTGTAGACTTCATCTATAACATCGGCTCTTCCTGCTTGTCCAGCAGACTGCCTTGGACTTGAACTGCAACTCTTTCCTGAGAGGCCTCTCCTGTCAGATTTTGGACTTGGCCAGCCTCGACAATTTCTTAAAATCAATCAATCAATCTATCCATCCGTCCGTCCGTCCGTCCGTCCGTCCGTCCGTCCGTCCATCCATCCATCCATCTGTACACACTTTATTGATTCTGTTTCTCTGTAGAACCCTAACTAATCCAGCATCCCATAAGCTGACAAGCAAGGTTTAGATGTAACAAATGTGCTCATGCCTTTCCGAACCAGCACCATAACTGAGGCGTGTGAACTCGGAGGCCATGAGCCCAGGATTGTAAGTCTGTAGGCCTGGGTTATGTGTGAGCCTTGTTGCTTCCAAGTTCTCTGCTCTGGATAGATTATCTAAGCTCCAGAAACAATTACACAGATGACCAAAACATTGCCAACCTCCGATATGTTCATTTTCTATCGCCATTGTAACAAATTACCATACCCTCTGTGCTTGAAACAAGGTAAATGTATTCTCTTACATCTCTGCAGATCAAATCAGAGTGTCAGCAGAGCATCTGAAGGCTTCAGGGAAGAATCTGTTTCTTGCTTTTTTCAGTTTCTGGAGACCACTTACATTCTTTGGGTCATGGCCACTTCCTCGCCTCACTCCAACCTCCTGTTTCTGCTGCTGCATCTCCTGCTACTCCATTTATCTCCTGCCTCCCTCTTATAAGGCCCTTGTGATTGCAGTGGACCCATCCAAATCACCCAGGACCATTCCTTATAGCAGTGTCCTTAATCATATCTGCAGAGTCTCTTTGGACATTTAATACAACATTTACACATTCCGGGGATTAGGATGTGGACATGGTTGGTGGTGGACAAGGGGAATTATTCTATCTCCACACCTGGTCAGAGGTAATTGGTTACAGATGGAAGGTAAGATAGGGGAAGGATTCTAAGGTACTTAAAACTATCTTATCTTTTAGAAAAGCATTTGATTATGTGACAAATGCAGAAAGTTGCAACAAAGAAATGCTTCCTTGGTGCCTAAAGAGATGAATGTGTGTTGGTACTGTATTTTTATTTAACAATGGCAATTCTGCTCCTAGAAGCATCAGAATAAAGCTTCTCCCATCTCTAAAAACTTAACATAAAAATGTCTTAAAAAGGATAATATTGTGGTTAGCTAGGTACACAAATCTGTGGGGCTTCATGTCCTGACAGATTCACTAAGTATTCCATGTAGTCTGTCAGGGACCTTTGGCAGGAAGTAAAGCCTTTTAAGAGAGACCCTGAGAACCTTCCTCAAAACATTAACTCAAGTATCATAAATCTACTTCATCATTTGTATTCTTGAACATGTCATCCCAATATAAGTTCTAGAATTGTTGTGCCTTCAACATGCTGAGTAGTTTTTGACAATCAGTCATTTTCAACGCTTCCCTCTTGGCCAAATGGATAAATCTAGGGAAGATTCTGGCCTTTCTTTTTGGTGCTTGGCTGTATTTTGAGTGCTCGGGACATTGCCATAACCTTTGGTCTGTTCTTAGCAGAGAAAACAAGATTTAACTCTGTAGAAAGGGGAGAACATTGAAAAAACTCAGTTTTCAAAAATCATCATGATTCTCAACTTAGTTCAAAAATTATTGGGATAGCTATAACAACTTCAGGCCAGGTATGGTGGCTCACACCTGCAATCCCAGCACTTTGGAAGGTGGAGGCGGGCGGATCACTTGAGGTCAAGAGTTTGAGACCAGCCTGGCCAACATGGTAAAACTCTGTCTCTATTAAAATTACAAGACTTAGGCCAGGCCCAGTGGCTTAAGCCTGTAATCCCAGCACTTTGGGAGGGTGATGTGGGTGGATCACCTGCAGTCAAGAGTTTGAGAGCAGCCTGGCCAACAGAGTGAAAGCTGTCTCTACTAAAAAGACAAAAATTAACCAGGTGTGGTGGCACATGCCTGTAATCCCAGTTACTCGGGAGGCCAAGGCAGGAGAATTGCTTGAAACCAGGAGGCGGAGGTTGCAGTGAGCCGAGATCACACCACTGCACTCCAGCCTGGGTAACAGAGTGAGATTCGCTCTCAAATAAATAAGTAAATAAAATAAAATAACAAAAATTAGCCAGGCATGGTGGCCACTCCTGTAATCCCAGCTAATCGAGAGACTGAGGCAGAAGGATCATTTGAGCCTGGGAGGTGGAAGTTGCAGTGAGCCAAGATTTTGCCACTGCACTCCAACTTGGGTGATGGGGTGAGACTCCATCTCAAAAAAAAAAAAAAAAAAAGAAAAAAAGAACATTTCTTTTGTTTTTTTAAATATATATTTTATTGTGTTTTAGGTTTGGGGGTACATGTGAAGAACATGCAAGATTGTTGCATAGGTACACACATGGCAGTGTGTTTTGCTGCCTTCCTTCCCATCACCTATATCTGGCATTTCTCCCCATGTTATCCCTCCCCAACTCCCCCCGCCACTATCCCTCCCCTAGTTCCCCCGCACAGACCCCAGTGTGTGATGCTCCCCTCCCTGTTTCCATGTGTTCTCCTTGTTAAATACCTGCCTATGAGTGAGATCATGTGGTGTTTGATTTTCTGTTCTTATATTCATCCATGTCCCTACAAAGGACACGAACTCATCATTTTTTATGGCTGCATAGTATTCCATGGTGTATATGTGTAAACAGTGAAGATTCATGATTGGAGCCTGATCTGATGGTTAGGATTTACCTAATCTTCGGTACCCCAGGTTGCTTGCTCTTTTCTGGTGATGCACTCTTTTGCAGAGTTAACCTGCCTTCGGGCTCAAGGACTTCAAATAAATACTGGAGAATCGGTCTAGAGTTCAAGGGTGATTTATTCTCCCCATTCCAAGGACATTTTACTACATATAATTATGCCTCCCCTCTTCTCCTTCTTTTTAACTCTAAAGTTCTCTTCATTGTCTATTTGAAATTGATTTTGGTTCAGTCAGTTCTAGTTCCCATTGTTGAAACATCCCAGGCATTTCAAGCCCTTCAGATATCTTTGTTTCTGTTCACTGTCCTTTTTTGCTTCCTCCTTTTCTTTTTAAAGCTTGACTTTATTGATGGAAGAAGGACCTTTTCTTGCTTTTCAGCATCGTGTGAATTGCCATCATGGCAAAGGAGGCCAACCATGTCACAGCTCCTGTCACTGTGTAGGCAAGACCTAAGAAAAGGCTATTCCCCCCACACCATGTCAGGGTGGAAAGAACAACTGATTTTTCTCCCTGGAACCTGGTTACTGGAAAATCTAAGAAGACCTGTTAAGGATCTGTCTCAACACTTCACATTTTTAGTATTGCATATACTGAATATTAGGTTGACATGTAGAAAATTGCTTTTTTTTAACAGGTAAAAAATGGTTAATCACGCCTGTAATCCCAGCACTTTGGGAGGCTGAGGCAGGCAGATCATGAGGTCAAGAGATCGAGACCATGGTGAAACCCTGTCTCTACTAAAAAATACAAAAATTAGCTGGGCATGGTGGTGCATGCCTGTGGTCCCAGCTACTTGGGAGGCTGAGGCAGGAGAATTGCTTGAACCCGGGAAGTGGAGGTTGCAGTGAGCCGAGATCTCCCCACTGCACTCCAGCCTGGCATCTGTCTCAAAAAAAAAAAAAAGGTTAAATATTTACTCTCATATTGTACAACTTAATCTTTACCAAGCAGTACTCTGTATCTTGCCGGAATGAGAATAAAAACAAGCCTTCCCTCCACATAGTTGTAAGCTACAAAAGAGATTGTGACAAAGATCTAAATGACTTACAGACAACTGAAATAATGAGCAAATATATTTAATTTCCTTTGGCAAACTCAAGGAAATTAAAAGAATACAAACCTAAATTTTTATATATGTATCAGGAGACTCAGGGCAGGCTATAGTCCTTTATTTAATAGGCTAAGGTTTGCATTCCTACCTCAGGGAAAATTCTGCAAGGGAAGTGAAGAACAAACAAACAAAAAGGTCACAAAACATTTTTGGTGGTCGAACTAAAGGTGGTACATTCATCTGGGTTTTGAAAAGGCCAATATCCCCCACTGCTGGGGAGCAAGTGTTTGAAGTGGGTTTGCTATCGTTAGCATTTGGATGATGTCATTTTGATTATATATGTGGCCTGAGGTTTTTAAACATCTGGTGCCTTTTGTAAACCAAACTAATAAACAAAGAAAGGTTTCTCATAGCAACGGCACAGGACGGAGGCATTTCCCAGCAAAGCTATTAAAGGGCCTCAAGCCATTTGGCAATGTGCTATTTAAAGGCACAAGGGAAATTATTAGGAAACTAGTTCTCTCTTTTCTTTTCCATCAGAATTCCTCATTGTCACCAGGTCCTTGGGTGCCACCTCCACCCATCTGCCTGTTTTTTCCCTCCCTCAGTTCTGTATGAGAGGGTCTTCTCCTCATACACAGAACATCTTTCTTTGCCTTAAGTGGTAGGCAATTTCTTAGTCTGGTGGGATAATACTCATGCCAGAGCTCTACCCAGCTAGTGCAGGTATAGGCCTGAAGCTTAGGGCTGAAGTTCTATGTACACGGAAAGTTTTGATTTGAGAGAGATTAGCATTAAGACATGACTGTGAATGAAGTCACCCAGGAAGAGCATGTCCAGATTGGAGAAACAGAATGCCTCTCTTATTGGGAACATGACGCCCTTCCTCATCCTCCCAACCCCAAAGTCATTGTAATGCATTGTGGGATAGCAGTGTATGAAGTTTCTTTCCCTGATCCTTGAATTCACCCATAACTGCTTTAATGGCAAGGCAGTCCCCAAATGGACAGAATCAGAAGGCCCAACTTGAGCGACCAGTTTTTGCGTGTGTGTGTTTTTGAGACAGTGTCTCACTCTGTTGCCAGGCTGGATTGAAGTGGCGCGATCTTGGCTCACTGCAACCTCTGCCTCTCGGGTTCAAGCCATTCTCCTGCCTGAACCTCCTGAGTAGCTGGGACCACAGGCACATGCCACCATGCCCAGCTAATTTTTATATTTTTAGTAGGATGGGGTTTCACTATGTTGGCTAGATGGTCTCGATCTTCTGACCTCATGATCCGCCCATCTCGGCCTCTCAAAGTGCTGGGATTATAGGCGTGAGCCACTGCACCCAGCCTGAGAGACCAGTTTTAAGTAACTTTCAATCTCTGCTTAAATTTTTTTAAGGGAGGGAGGAGTTTGCTAAAATTCTTATTCAAGGGGTTTACTCTTTGATCTATACTTATAATGCTCCACAAGAGAGGCACTTTGTGGCTTTCATTTTCATTTTCATAGAATTAGACACTCTGCTAACTGAAGGCATACCTCCTCCTGGCCAGTAAACCAAAGGAGATAAAAAGCTGAGAGACAGAGATGGTGGCTCCTCCTTGGGTTCTTTCTGACTGAGAAATGTGCCCACTTCCCTATCAGAATGGAGATGTCCACACACCTCTTCTAGGATGGAAAGGAAGAAAAGATGTAGCAGGGAACTTGAGCACATGCGGTCATTACCTTCTCCTCTAGAATTTCTTACTCAGCCTCCCTGAAAGGTGAGGGAACTAAGGAGGTGGAAGATTCTATGAACAACTCCTAGCGGGGAGCTTTGGGAGGATCAGCACAGCAGTGCTGGTGCTTGACCCCTAATTGGGCTGCAATTTCAAAATTGTGTAAAAGCCCTGGAAAGATTCTGCCTCCAGAGAATTCTACCTCAGGGAGAGTCAAGAGGAGACTTTAAAATTAAATCTAGGCTGGGCACGGTGGCTCAAGCCTGTAATCCCAGCACTTTGGGAGGACAAGGCAGGTGGATCACAAGGTCAAGAGATCGAGACCATCCTGGCCAACATGGTGAATCCCTGTCTCTACAAAAAAATACAAAAATTAGCTGGGTGTGGTGGCGTGTGCCTGTAGTCCCAGCTGCTAAGGAGGTGAGGCAGGAGAATTGCTTGAACCCGGGAGGCGGAGGTTGCAGTGAGCTGAGATCGTGCCAGTGCACTCCAGCCTGGCGCCTGGCAACAAAACCAGACTCTGTCTCAAAAAAAAAAAAAAAAAAAGAAAAAGAAATTAAATCTAAAGACCAGAGTTAGTGTAAATTGTGTTTAAATATGTAATTTCTTAAAGATAGTATTTGGTGCCATGCTAAAGTTAAGTCCTGTTTGTTTTCAAATTAAGAGTTATATTTGTATTTTTTAATTAAGTGAAAAAATTCAGACTCTCATATTAAAGCATGTGTCAACCTGGACAACAAGGGAGACCCATCTTTTTTTAAAAAAAAAGAGGTAGTTAGCTGGGCATGGTGGTGAGTGCCTGTAGTCCAAGCTACTTGAGAGACTGAGGTGGGAAGATCACTTGAATCAAGGAGGTCAAGACTGCAATGAGATGTGACTGTGCCACTGTACTTCAGCCTGGGCAACAGAGCAAGACCCTGTCTCAAAAGTAAATATGCAAATTAAAATAAAAATAAGCATGTGTCTCCTAAGTTGCACCATATATCCCTAATCAGGGCACCAACTCCCACATGCTGACTTTGTACTCTAGGGAGGGAGAAACATGGCGTCTTCAGTGCAGACCTTGTCACACACCTCACATGGATTTGGATGAACTGGACCTGTCCCCTGAGTCCAGAGCTTCTGTGGTCTATGATACTTTTCCCTAGAATAAAAGGTTCTATAGTCCCAGTTTTAGTAATTTGCAGTCTATATTTAATTATCAAACTCCTCTCTTTATTTTCATAGTCCTCCATCTCCTCCCATCCTATATGGCATGCTTCTCCTTACAGTCTTTTAACAGATCTCGAGGCCCAGTGTTGCTTAACCTTTCTTAGGGAATAGAAATAGTCCTACCCAGAAATACGCATACCTTCTTAGTTGACACTGCTATTCACAGTTATTCCTAAACAAATTTAAAACTCTGCATTTCAGTATATAATATAGAGACAAACAGCTATATTTGGATGGAATGACAATTGAGGGGTTCAGGACATGCCACCTCAAAATAGGCCACTTCAGCGTACTGATTATTTTGAGCTAAAGGCACTTGAAAAACAGCAAGTGCAAGAAGGGCACTCTGACTGCCCCTTTCTTTTTTTATTTTCTTTATTTTTGCGGGGAGGAGCTCACTCTGTCACCCAGGCTGGAGGCTAGTGGTGCTGTCAGGTCTCACTGCAGCCTCAACCTCCCAGGCTCAACGGCTGCACCTGCCTCAGCCTCCCAAGTAGCTGGGACTGTGCACCACCACACCTAGCTAACTTTTTGCACTTTTTGTAGAGACGGGGTTTCACAATGTTGCTCAGGCTGGTGACTTCCCTTTTCTTCTGAAAGCAGGAGATAAAACTCTCATGTGAAAAATGCCCTCTCTATACCAGGAGAAAATAAACTGTTTTTGAGACAGGGTCTGGCTCTGTTGCCTAAGTTGGAGTGCAGTGGTGCAATCCCTGCAGCCTCAACCTCCAGGACTCTAGTGATCCTCCCACCTCAGCCTTCCAAGTAGCTAGGACCACAGGTGTGTGCCACCACACCCAGCTAATTTTACAAAATTGTTTTATAAAGACAGGGGTCTCACTATGTTGCCTGGGCTGGTCTTGAACTCCTGGGCTCAAGCAATCCTCCCACCTTGACCTTCCAAAGTGTTGGGTTTACAGGCACGAGCCACTGTGCCTAGCTGAAAATAAACATGCTTATCGCCAGAGACAGAGCGTCGAGATTGAGACAAATCTCCAAAAAAAAAAAACCTTGTTAAACGAACCTTTGCTTCCTAGTTACATTTCTACAATTGCCATTCTTTGTTCAACCTAGTACAACAAGTACTTAGACTTGAGTTACTTCTTTGGGTCTCCATTTTTCTTGTAAGGGCTCACATGTAAATGTAAAAGCGTAAAATTCATATGCTTTTCTGTTGTTAATCTGTCAGTCCCGTGGAGAAGGACTAGGAGAATTTTATCATCCCTCACGTATTTTTTTTGTATACAGATTTGACTGGAAAATAGAAAAGCATAGAATGAGATAACTCAACAACCAATAGCCAGGTTTTCTATCTCCAGAAAGAAAATGGCTATAAAAGGATATTATAGGTTATGTTGAAACTATAATTACCAGCAGGCAAGCCTTCCTTAAAATGGTGTGTTTGATTGAGTCGACCATACAGTTTTTTGAAAGTGGGAAAGGCAGCTCCCGGCATCCACACAATGAAGTCTTCATTGAGGAAGCCATTGTTTCTTGGATCCTTTTCATCCAACTCATAGATAGGGTTGGGCCAGTTTGGGGGCTTTGTGGTTCCTGTGGGAAGAAAATAAGGGATATGATGGACAAAAAAAATCATCTATCTTCTTCTGTTTTCTTTAGAATGTAGAGAATGAAAGAACCTCTGCATTCTTGAGGAAATAGAAATAGAAATTACACTTTTTTAAAAAAGTGTGTATGTTTGTGTTATCTTAGTGAACAACCATGAAAAATAATGGCTTTAAAGATTCTAAGGAAATGATCATGATATTTTCATAAAGTTAAAAAAGAGCAGAATATTGGCCGGGTGCAGTGGCTCATGCCTGTAATCCCAACACTTTGGGAGGCCCAGGTGGGTGGATCACTTGAGGTCAGGAGGTCAAGACCAGCCTGGCCAATGTGGTGAAACCCTGTTTCTACAAAAAATATAAAACTTAGCTGGGCATGGTGGTGCATTCCTATAATCCCAGGTACTTGGGAGGCTGAGGCAGGAAAATTGCTTGAACGTGGGAGGTGAAGGTTGTAGTGAGCTGAGATCACACCATTGCACTCCAGCCTAGGAGATACAGTGAGTAAGACTCTGTCTTAAAAAAGAAAAAAAAAAAAAGAAGAGAAGACTATCAAATTATTAGCATACTGTGTCTTCAGCTACATTCAATGCATATAAAGCATTTAAAAAACAGAACAAAATGATCATGGTGGTTGCATTCAGTCATAAACATAGGGTATATGTTTTTAAAAACCTTCATTGGGAAGCATCTTTATTTTATTTAATATTACTAGTAGTCTAAGGAATGCAAATTAAACCAAGATACCATTTTCATCTAAAAATTGGTTAATATTTAACAAAAAAAGTGACAACCATTGAAAAGGCAATAGAAATGAGAACTCTTGTACAGAGCAGATAGGTGCATTCACTTCTTCTTTGGCAATCTAGGAGGCTGCATTTAATGGTTTAATATTTTGCCTACATTTTGGCCCAGAAATTCTATTTCTAGGAATGTATTGTAAGGAAATAATCATGGCATGAAGATTGGCTTATGTAGATTGGGTTACTGCAGCACTGCAACTAAGAGCTGAAGCTGGAAGGAAAGAAGAGAAATTGGTTAAGTGGGAGGAGGTGGAAAGCAAAGACATTGTGAGCCTGTTCTCAAGCCAGGAAGCCTGGTAGGTTTGGGAGCTGCAGAAATGTTGGAAGCACAGGGTGGAGGGTGGTTCCAGGAGAGGAGCCTGTTGAGTTTACCGACATTCTCACACTTCCTACTTTACAACAGGAGGCACGTTTGTCTCTCCCACTCTACAGGATACTCGAGAATACTGTCATCCTCATCTCTGTTTTCATTAGCATTGAGTCTAGTGCCTGGCCCATAGTAGGTATTAAATAAGTACTTGATAAAGGAATGAAAGATTCCAATTAAATCTGATGCCAAAAAAACACACGGAATGGTAAAGAGCTAGTCATAAGGAGTAAATTGCTTAATGAAATTTTTACTTCCATAAGGCCAGTTCTACTATTTGTAGGAAGCTAGAATGCTAAATAGGGAGCCACTCTTTCTCAACTCTGACTACTGACTAAACTATATTCTCTTAAAAGAAACCCAGATCTGTTTCTAAGCATGGACTGTGGTGGCTGTAAAAGCATTTGTGGAGTGTGGTTGGGTTCATCTGCTGACATATGTTTGTACACTTCTATTCCCTTGGGAAATAATCCTCTGCTGGAGCATCTTCTTCTGTAAATATAGAGCCAACTTATTTTGGCTCTTCCCAAGATTTCAATCACTGTTGTTAGAAGAATTTTGATCAAAATTGAAATTGCCTTTGGTGTCTGCACTGTAGACTTCACCTTCTCTCTACTTTGGACTGAGCTCATGACTGAAGGCAGGGTGTTCTATGAGCCACTGACATCAGAATCACCCAGGGAGCTTGTTAAAAATGCAGTTTCAGGCCAAGTGCAGTGGCTCACCCCTGTAATCCTAGCACTTTGGGAGGTCGAGGTGGGCAGATCGTGAGGTCAGGAGATTAAGACCATCCTGGCCAACATGGTGAAACCCCGTCTCTACTGAAAGTACAAAAAATTAGCTGAGCATGGTGGCCCACACCTGTAGTACCAACTACTCGGGAAGCTGAGGCAGGGGAATCGCTTGCACCCAGGAGTTGAAGGTTGCAGTGAGCCGAGGTCATGCACTCCAGCCTGGCAACATAGTAAGACTCCATCTCAAAAAAAAAAAAAAAAAAAAAAAAAAAATGCAGGTTCTCACCTACCAATTCCTACTTCTATCCCATACCATATTTCCAGAGAGTATGAAAAGTATGGTCTAAGAGACATCAACTTCATTTTCTAAGTTCATTTGGGTCATTTTATTGATCCATTTATTCATCTATGAGCATTTCTTTTTTTTTTTTGAATAAAAATTATTTTTTTTCTTTGCACCATAGATTCTAGATGCCCTGATTCTATGCTCCTAAACATGTCTTAATTGTCACTAGCACTAGGTATACAAAACCAAAAGATCCAGTCTTCTTCAATGATTTACAGGCCGTGGGCATGACAGGTATATAAACAGATAATTAGAGTATAATGTGGTACCTCTTATAATAGAGGTAAGAACAAAGTGCAGCAGGAGATGAGAGAAAGCTAGGGCCCTTTGCGTGTAGTCCTGTGGTTATGTGGTAAGAAAATGCCACAGAATGTTGCCAAGTCCCTTTTGAAAACAGCAACTCAATTATAGATATAGTGACCATATATATCAGTTTGCCTAGCAAAATCCCAGTTTATGTCGGTTGTTCATGATCTCATCTGATGTAGCATGTATCCCACACAAGGTACATGTAATTTCATCCTTCCAGCATCCAGCCATAATCTTAGCTAGTAGTGTGTGATATGTTCATGTGCAGTGAATGGACTGCTTACTTTTACGTATGATTGTATATGAAAGTCAACCCGAGACCCTTCCAGTCAAAACATTATAAAACATATCCCTGTAACCCATGCCAGCTGTTAAGCATTCCAGCCAGGTAGGCAATAGTTTCTTTCTGTGTTAGCCTGTAGGATGTGTGAAACTTCCAGGCTGCAAATCAACGGGGTCAGTGAGAAACGTGGGAAATTATAGGTTAGGTTATGGGTACATGATGCATGTGTGAGAACTAGATGCTGAGCAGTGCTGCTGAGAGTAGTTTGAACTCTCTTGCAACAGTGAGTTTGTTACTTTATTTTATTTTATTTTTATTTATTTAATTTATTTTTTGAGAGGAAGTTTCGCTCTTTCACCCAGGCTGGAGTGAAGTGGCATGATCTTGGCTCACTCCAACCTCCACCCCCTGGGTGGAAGAGCTGGGATTATAGGTGCCTGTCACCATGTCCAGCTAATTTTTGTCTTTTTAGCAGAGATGGGGTTTCGCCATGTTGGCCAGGCCGGTCTCAAACTCCTGACCTCAGGTGATCCACATGCTTCAGCCTCCTAAAGTGCTAGGATTACAGGTGTAAGCCACTGCACCTGGCCTTGTTACTTATTATATGATGTGACTATAGAACTATTGCATTGTTTGTTATCAGTTTCTTATTTGCTTAATAATTCATTTTAGCTGTGAAGAGCTAAAAAATGTAAAACATGTATTTCATGTACAGTTCAGTACAGTTTTTTAAAGATGATTGAATGTGATACTTCCGTAATGTTGGTTGATATTTACCACCCTCATGGGTACCATGGTCTCGAATGACCATGTGAAAATCAAAAGATATACATCTGCTGAAGAACGTCAGAATCTTCTTCAAAAATCGATGATTAGTTTTTAAAGATTGTGTCCAAAGACAACAATCTACACAAGATCCACTTATATATCATTGTGTGAGCATGACTTTTAGATCAAATGAATTTCCTTCTAGTTTCACTTTTTTATTGCATTTTGTTTTTGTTTTGTTTATTTGTTTAGAGATGGGGTGTTGCTCTGTTGCCCTGGACTGGACTGGAACTCCTGGGCTCAAGTAACCCTCCTCCTCAGCCTCCCTGTTGAGAGCTGAGATTACAGGTGTGCACAACTGTGCCTAGCTACAAGTTATTGTTGTTTTTCGTAATCAAAGAGCAGCTTTTAATGTGTTGGCTTAGTGCAAAAATAATTTCTAAATAGTTAAATGAGGTCAATTTTATATGAATGTATTCAGATACTTCAAATAGAAAAATCAAAAAAGTTAATTATAATAATGATTTTATTTTTGTGGATTTGATTCCTCATGAAATCAAAGCAAACCTTTTAGAAGTTCAGTCTTTGAAGATGAACACTCTGACATTATTATAAATGTTACTGTAAGTTCAGTTACAAAATTCAACAATTGGCCAGGTGTGGTGGCTCACACCTGTAATCCCAGCACTTTGGGAGGCCAAGGAGGGTGGATCACTTGAGCCCAAGAGTTTAATACCAGGCTGGGCAACATGGTGAAACCCCATCTCTACAAAAAAAAAAACAAAAAAGTTAGCTGGGTGTGGTGGTGCACACCTGTAGTCCCAACTACTCAGAAGGTACAGGTGGGAGGATAGCTTGAGCCAGGTAGGTGGAGGTTGCAGTGAACCAAAATTGTGCCACTGCACTCTAGCTTGGGCAACAGAGAGATACTCTGCTAAAAAAAAAAAAAAAAAAAAAAAAACCAAAAAAACAGTAATCAAAAGCCCCCAAAACAAAATCCAGCAATCAGGTTTAAGTTGTTTGGTTCTGCAGCGATAACCTTACTGCAAATTTGGTGGGGCACAGCAAATGCTCTTAGCAAACTGAGAAATCGACAGAGAAGAGATGTACTTAAAATTGGTCATGGTACGTACATCGTTCACAATAGTATCCAAATAAGCTACAATATTTTGTTAATCCAAAGAAGAGCTGTAGTTGTACAAATTTAAGTATTCTTATATATTCACAGTTAGAAAAACTGCACTTTCCATTGCAAAATTTTTAGAATGACACATGTTAAATTAAATGCATACTTCAGTGTGATAGTATATGTGGTCTCCCTTTGTCGGACATCATCAACCAGACAGAATTTTAGAAGGGTTTAAGGCTTTACATAACTT